ACTTAACAGTGGGCATTGGGTTCTTTTCAGTGTAGTTATCTTTCTTTGCCAGACCCGCCTTGAGTGTTTGTTGCCAAAAAAGCTCAATTTTCGTTTCATCTGTCCTTACGTTCGTAGTTAGATGACAGGAAAGTTTTCATCCTGGAATGCCTTCCAAATAGTCTGTTGGCATGGAGATGCCGTCTGATGGTAGTTTTGGAGACTTGCTGAACCCAAGATACTTCTTTTTTTTTGTAAGTCTCCAACAGTGATCCCTGGGGATTTTTTGGGGATCTTACCATCCTCCTCACTGTGCATGGGGGCAAAATAAACTTGGGTCCTCGTACAGGCATGTTTGTCACAGTTCCAGTTGATTGGAAGTTTTTAATTATTGCCTTAACTGTAGATTTGGGCATTTTCAAGCGAGTTCCTAATGTCTATAGCCATTCCCTGACTTATGCTTTTTTTTTTATTTTAATTAATGACTAAGGGAGTTTGACCTTTGTATCACTTCATGTATATACCCCAGTCAAACAGGAGGTCATGATTACTGCTGAAAGTTCCTAGACACTGATCAACTTAAAAAAGTAAAATATAAATGGAAAACATGCTTCAGTTACATTTTGTTCCTAAAAGTTTGTTGGGGTGCCAGTAGTTGTGGTACATGTAATTTTGTAAAAAAAAATACTTCTTGATTTTTATCTCAGAATAAATTTACTTCAGTTAAAGGTTGGATTTTTCTCATTTTTTCAGTAAGACCAAGCTAATTCACCAGATACATTTCTCACAACCCTTTTTACTCATCTTTACCAGGGGTGCCAATAATTGTGGAGGGGACTGTAGTTTAGCTATGTGGAGGATGTGACTTTTATAATGACTCAACACAAAATCTAGGATGAAGCTTCCACATAAAGCAATAAGCCATGAGAGGCTATGAGTTACAGTGGTTAAAGGGTGTTAAAACCCTCTTTTAACCCCATTTACCATGATAAAATCACTGTAATACTTGGCATCAAGTGGCTTGTAATGTTAACAAAATAGCAACAAAATGCAATAGGATAAAATACATGACTGTTAAATAACAAATTTATTGTGTATTTTGTGACTATAATCACAATAAAAAATCCTTTTGCCATGCAATGTAGGCCACCTCACACCATTCCCCAGCTGTTTTTGGGCTAAAAGTTGCAAGGTAAAGAAAAAAGTTTAGGCTTGTAATGTTGGCAGAAGTAACAGGCAATTAGCATTTATATATCTCAAAAATTGTAGATAGACTGTTCTTCTTTAAGTATATTCCAAGCCACATGTCCATCGATTTCTGTGGTCTCGTTCTGGGTTATTTTGAGGCAGTATTTGAAAAATGTTTAGTGGTGCGTAGAGAAATTGAGCAGGGCTCAATTTGAGAGTCGCAGAGCACCATGACACTGAATGCTTGTTTTATGTTTTCACATTATTCCCATTATCCAAGCCAAACAGGCCTTTCCGTTTGATAGAAAGCAGAAACGGCAAAACAAGCAAGCACAGCAGGTGAAGAGCTTGGCCTTCAGGGTTGGGTATTAGATCAGAGCTAAATAGGCTCTGGGGGGATGCCTGCTGTGGGCATGCTACCATGAGACCAGAGGAAGGAAACGTAAGTGACCACCAACATTTGGCAACCTATAAATACAGCAAACCATATGCCAAACCACACAAGGAGAAAATAGCCCTGGACTGTGCTTAATTAGGATGTAATCCTCTTGCAGCTTAGCAGTCCTTAAGACTCATTTTCAAGGCACAAAAAACATTACGATTCACTCATGAGGGCACTGATAGCTTGAGTCACCCAAGGTGAAGGTCTCTACCTAATAATATTTTGCCACTTTAATTCTATGGAGCCTAACAGTCAACATGCACTAAATTCAGTTGATTAAAACGGTATTTGAATGGAACAGAGCACTGTATGACTCACTTCATTTGCTTATTGAATACAAAAGTCCCTTCCATAGAAGAATGCTGGCACAGTCATCTTTAATTATGGCCTAAGTATAACAATAGGTGTATATATATATATATATATATAATATATATATATATATATATATATATATATATCGCTGTTATCGGAAGAAAGTTTTTTTTTCAGTTTTTGACATAATCTGAAAATGCCTGTTGTCCTTTACATTGTGTGTAAATTTCATGATGAATGGACTAAAAAATGGCCCAAAATGACTTGGTTCCATTGATTTACATTAAAAGTAAAGTATGTTTTCTCCTTCTCCTGTAAAGTTACCATTTTGAGATACGAGGTTTTCTTCTGACAACAGCGATATACAGTAAAAGTGCACAGAGATGCATTAAAAAACAAGCGAACTCCAAAAAATAAATATGCCAAAACGATTATTTGAGCAACGTCATAGAACAACAACACTTTTGGTTTCCTTAAAGAACCTTTCAGTGGATAGATTTCACTTTCTGTACTAGAACCATTTTCAGAAACAGACCTTTTTTAAAGTTTAAAGAAGCTCCACATAATGTAAAGGTTTCAAATAAATACTTTGGAGTGTTTATTTTTAACAGTGTACTAAGAGTGTAATGCCATAACTTACTCACAAGCTATTAGCTAAGGGCCAATTCCTTATGTGGGGTCTTCTGTAAACAAAACTAGAGAAAATTCCAAATCATAACAGTCATAAAACCCCTTGACCTCAAAGTCCAGTCAAAACCTCCAGGGCCTATGACACAACACCTCATCTCAGCACCCTGCCTCCAACAACATGAGGGCAAAGCTGTTCACACAAAACTACAACAAACGCCCCTCCTCTGGGCATGGAAAGGTCATCTATCCATCTCTCACTCTCCTCACATTTCCATAAAGTAATATCCATTCACGCCTCGCTCTCATTCTCTTCTGCTTGCTATGCAAGTCTCAGATTACCAACAAAAGTGCCAAGCCCAGAATTCACAGCTTCTTCTTTATGTCACTCGCATCATGCTCACTTCTGTCCCCTGACGAATGTGATGAAGTTATGCATTTCTCAGAGTGCTCCAAGGAATTTAACCTAACGTCATAGTGGACATTCCTGACCTTTCTGCTGAAGTGGGGCCTTAGGCCTCTAGGAGAAAGTTCCTTTCACTGATTTAAAACTGGTTGTATTTAGGGTCTCTGGCGGATCTAGAAAATTTAAACAGGAGTGCGAAAGGGGTGGCAGGGAGTTTCGGCTGGGTGGCAATGCGAATGTAGGGGTGGGAGGAAGAGTTGGGAGAGGTTAGACAGTTGTTCTGGAAATTGCCAATAGTGAAAGTAGCTTCCCCTTAAATGCAAACGGGGTGGAAGTTAATAATGAGGCATCTGGGGTGGCCAGTCAGATTTCAGGAGGAACTGGCCACTTTGGCAACCCTTTCCAACCACACATGTTTTGGGTAACACTTGGAACAAGTCACTAAGTTGCAAGTAGCAAGCCTTAATACTCGAGTCCCAAATCAAGTCCCAAGTCAGGACAGTCAAGTCTCAAGTCAAGTCCTGAGTCAGTGCAGGCAAGTCTCAAGTCAAGACCTAATCATCGAATCCTGAACAAGTAAGTCAGCATTCTTCAGCTAATTTAAGCAGATTTCAACACTGAACACAAAAATGATTGTGATGATAATACAGTCTTTTATTGACAGCATGCTTGAAGTGTGTGACTGTCTATTCATTTTTTATTAATTTATTCACCTTTTAAATAAAATACAAAATCCATGGTAAATGGATAACAATGACAGACATAATGAACTTAATAAAGAAAAAAAATTACATTTTATTTTTTGTATCCTTTGTCAGTTTCAAAGCTACAACCTGTCAGTCATTTCACTGTAATTTAGCTAGACTGTCTTGGCAATTATCCTTTTACCCCAAATAATTGCACAACACTTTGGAGATTATACAACACATTTACTAAGTTATTAAGTACAACCTGTTGGGCATTTCAGTGTAATTCAGATAAACTTTCTTTGAACTTTACATAATGGCAAAATTTGGTTAACCTCTTTTGCAGGCCTCCTAGTGGCCACTTCACTGGTAGAATGGAAACTTGAGTATTTTATATGAATTTAATAAAATAAAATAACCCAGTACCCCTTTTTTCAGATCTCTGATTAACTAGGACATTGTTTGCTCTTTGTGTGTGAAATGCAGCGAATCTGTACTGAGCTGCTAGTGAGCAATGAGGAGTGAAAAGGTAGGAGTGAGAACCCCGCACTGTGAAAATAATTCACACCTTTTCACTAAGGCAGCAATACCGAAATAAAACGGAAAGCACAATTGCAGCTTTCTGCATATCAAAACTCACATTTAAAAAACTGCATTTAAAAACAACAGAAACATTTTGACTTGTTTGCTTAACTTCAAAGATGAAATTGCACTTCTCTTCCAGTTTTTGTAAATCATACACATTTCCATCAATATATATATTCCATCATTATTACTGAAGAAAAAAAATTGTAGTACAAAAGCAGGCAGCAATTGCATTTTATTGTTACTGTGAAAAGAGATTAATACCTAGAACTTAGGGGACTGTAAAAGAAAGCGTTACTGAATTTGGGTGCGGGGAAACTTGTCCCTGCATCAGTACAAAAGGTCACATTTCTACCATACAGTACAGGGAACATAGTGACTGTAACAGGCACAGTTAATTAAGACTGATGGGATGTTGGATTTTATTTGCATGCTAGTGGGAGTTCTAGCAGGCCTGTGTTGAAATAGTTGTAATATCTGTCCTGTGTCGTCAGGATATATTACAGATTGTATTAGGTTGACCATCTCAGAACATCAGTGAACTAGCTGAAGGAGAACTCCCACAAGAGCAAAGGCAATACTGGATCTCTCGGGTGAGTTTGCTGGTTTATTTTGCTCTGCACTGGGAAAAACTTTATGAATATGTTTTAACGTTATAAAATTATGTACAATATGGTATAAAAGAGTGTTTTAGAGTGAATTATTTTAAATGAGTTCAAACAACTAAAAACAAACGGATGTTTCAACCAAGTTTTCAGTCTTCTTTTAAGGATGGCCCATGAGAAGATATTTGCTGGAATTCCCATGTCCAAGGTACATGTGGCATATACTTTTAAGGCTATATTTTGAATTCTAGTAACACAGTCTAACTGTCCAATCCCCTAAAACTAGTGGTATGCAACAATAGAATTGGATGGAAAATGCTGAGTCTGCATATTACTGTTTTAAGACTTGTTTAGGGATGTATGCACACACACTACCACACCAACTCTAAGGCTGACCCCAACAGTCATCCTCTCCGCAGTGTATGAGAGACATGTGTAAAGAGGAGGACTACGTGTTCCTAAATGGTCAGACAAAGCCGGACAAGACTACAGGATACAGTATGTTTCAGGACAGTGAGTGGCAGCAACAGCGAGAGGAAAGGGTAAATAAAGCTTTTTCCACCAATTTTTGCCCATGTTTACTAAAAAAATAGTTTAAATTAAATTTACACAGTTTTCTCCAAAGTTTTCTACTCAATCATCCTGGACATGTTTGCTGTGTAAAGTTTGCTTCTTTAGTTTTGCCCTAGAGGCTAATGTAGCTAACAATTAGCTACAGAAATTAACTACATACAAGCTGTGTGCCTAAATCATCACACACCTGCAGTAAAGTAATCTCAAACAGATTTGATTATGTAGTTTCTGACACTGTATGACATATGAGAAGTGGGGGTGTAGAGGGGCTACAGCATCCCCAGATTTCAGGATTGTTTACCTGATAATAATAATAATAATTAATAATGAAATAGAACGTTTAAATAATCTGAGCATAGTGTGTGCTTATTTCAGGGTTTCAGAGTTTTTTTTTAATTTTATGTTTTATTTTCAAAATCTGCACGAGTCACACACTTTTTAAGGTAATGCCAAAAAAATTCAACTCACACATCCCACATTTTGAATATTTATTATATATAGTTATGTTCCTTTAAATCTGGCATTTGGTGTGTGCTCAAGTATTGAATGTCAGTGTGTAGACTGACTATGGGAGTGACGCAATCAGTTACCATGCCACTCATTAACAATCAACAATGCGGTGTGTGCATCCGCAGTTTGTGTCAGTGATGTGTATTTTGTTGTTTCTCAACATATTATGGGACATTATGCCTCATGTAGCACATTATGACATGTTTGATATGATTTAGCCCAAAAAAAAAAGCATATCATCTGCATGATGTCACTAGACACTATAAATCATCACAACCAGAAGAAAACCTTGTATATCCAAAATGGTTTCTTTACAAGAGAAGGTAAAAAATGTTCTTAACTTTGAATCAGAGTTAATGGCAGTAATTTTAGAGCATTTCTATTGGTCAATTCATCAAGAAATTGAAACACAATATAAAGAGCAGCTGGCATCTATATGCACATCTAATATCTAATAGCACAACAATAGCAAACCCTGGTTTTCAGGAAATTGCACACAGCCAAGGAAGAAGCTTATAGAAGTGGGCACTGAACAAAGGAGTCAAAACTGCCAAACACAAATACAGGGAAAATCTGGAACAGCAGTTCTCCTCAAATGACTGTTTCTCCATCTGGAAAGGACTCAAAACCATAATCAACCACAAACCCAAAAGCTTCAAATGTAGTAGCAGACCTACTGCTGACAAACCAGCTCAATAACTTTTATTCAAGATTTGAAATACAAAGGACATCTCTCCACTCCCTCCAATCTAGCTTTAGACTGTCTGCTACACACTGTCTGTAGCCTCTTCACACCTGACCCCCACCTGATCTCACCTCCTCAACAACTACAACCCACTCCCCACCACCTCCCATCACCATAACTGAACAGCCAAACCGGCCATGTTCTCAGGAAACAGAAGATCAGGAAGGCTGCTGGCCCTGACGGTGTCCCACCTGCAACACTCAGGCGCTGTTCTGAACAGCTTTCTCTTATCCTCACTGATCTCTTCAATCAGACCCTGACCAAATCTGTTGTGCCTGCATGCTTTAAGTCGTGTGTTATTTAGAACAGTGTGTTACTTAGAACAGCTAGAGCAAACCTGAACCGTGCCATAAGAGTCGCAAAGCGTTCTCATGGTCAAAAAGTGAAGGATTTTTTCCAGGATCCCTCAAACACAAGACGAATGTGGCAAGGCATTCAGACAATCACAGACTAGAAAGCTACTCGTCCCCCCTGTGAGAACAACATCAACTTCCTCAACAAAATAAATAAATATTTTGGAAGGCTTGAGGTACTGAACACCACTTCTGCAGAACAATCTACTCCTCGCCCTGACGAGCAGATACTCTGCCTGGATACAGCAGATGTCCGAAGAACCCTGAGGAGAGTGAACACTCGGAAAGCGGCGGGCCCCGACAAACATACCAGGGCGGTTGCTGAAGGAATGTGCTGATCAGCTGGCTGGGGTTCTCACGGACATCTTTAACACCTCGCTGAAACAGGCTGTCGTACCATCATGCCTAAAGACTGCCACAATCATACCGGTGCCCAAAAAAACCACAATCTCCTCCCTCAACGATTACCGCCCTGTAGCACTCACCCCCATCATGATGAAGTGTTTCGAGAGGCTGGTAAAGGACCACATCACCTCCAAACTCCCTCCCACATTCGACCCGTACCAGTTTGCTTACCGCCCAAATCGCTCCACAGAGGATGCCATCTCCTGTGCACTTCACCTGAGCTTAGAACATCTGGAAGGAAGAAATACACATGTGCGCATGCTGTTTCTGGACTTTAGCTCAGCGTTTAACACAATCATCCCACAACATCTGATAAGCAAACTGGCCCCCCTTGGCTTCAGCACCCACTTGTGTAACTGGCTGTTGGACTTTCTATCAAATAGACCTCAGTCTGTGCGGGTGGGCAACAACGTCTCCAGTGCCATCTCTTTGAGCACCGGCTCCCCTCAGGGCTGCGTTCTGAGCCCGCTGCTGTTCACCCTGATGACCCACGACTGCTGTGCCAGGTCCACTACCAACCACATCGTGAAGTTTGCACATGACACGACAGTTGTGGGCCTCATCCAGGACGACAACGACCTGGACTACAGAGAGGAGGTGAACCATCTGGTTGACTAGTGCAAAACCAACAACCTGGTCCTGAATGTCGAGAAAACCAAAGAGATCATCGTCGACTTCAGGAGGACCCAACCCAACCACACACCACTCCTCATCAAGGACACAGCAGTGGAGATAGTCAGCAAAACGAAGTTCCTGGGGGTACAGATAACGGACACTTTGACCTGGTCCACTCACACTGAAGCTCTGGTCAAAAGAGCCCAGCAGCGCATGCACTTCCTGAGACGGATGAAAAGAGCACACCTTCCCCCTCCGATTCTCTCCACCTTCTATAGAGGCACTGTAGAGAGCATACTGACCAGTTGCATCACTGTCTGGGCAGGAGCCTGCAGCACCTCTGACTGGAAGTCTCTGCAGAGAGTGGTAAGGACAGCAGAGAGAATTATTGGGACTTCACTTCCTCCCATACAGGACATTGCAACAAGTCGCTGTCTGACCAGAGCTCAGAACATAAACAGAGACCCCTCCCACCCCCACCATGGACTGTTCTCGCTGCTAGCCTCTGGAAAGAGGTTCCGAAGTCTTCGAAGCAGAACAGCCAGGTTCAAAAACAGCTTCTTCCCACATGCAATAAGACTGCTGAACTCTAAATAAATGCTGCTTCAATTCTTTGTTTTAATTACTCCATACCTGGGAGCTACAGGGCAATACACCCTCTTGTATATATACTTATTTAAAATTTATTTTTCTGTTGACATAAAAATATGTTTGCATATGCGCCACACTCTGCACTACATTGCACTTTGCACTACACTGCATTACTTATAATTCTCCCTGATCTACCCTGAGCCTATGCAACGTAATTTCGTTCTAATGTGCACTGTACGGTGTAAATTGAATGACAATAAAGTCTGTCTAAGTCTAAGTCTAAGTCTAAGTCTAAGTTATCTTACCAGTTCCTAAAAAGCAGAAGATCTCCTGTCTGAATGACTGCAGACCAGTTGTCCCAACATCTGTAGTCATAAGGTGTTTTGAGAGAGTTTTACTTCAGCACCTCAGAGTCATGACTGATGCCCTCCAGGACCCTCTGCAGTTTGCATGTAGAGCCAACAGGTCTGTAGATGCCACTAATCTGGCTCTTTCCTACATTCTGCAACACCTGGACGGCCCTAACACTTATGTCCGCGTGCTGTTTGTAGACTTTAGCTCTACTTTCTACACCATCATTCCTGACCTTCTACTGCCTAAAGTGTGGCATAAAGTGTCCCGGAGCTAAACACACAAAAACTGTGGGGATGACCATTGACTTCAGAAAGAAACCCACCACACGGCCTCCACAGGAAATACATGGCTCCACCGTCAGCGTCTTCCTGGGCACCACCATTCAGCAGGATCTCAGATGGGACATGCACAGCACTGCATTCATGAAGAAGGCCCAGAAGTGTCTGTATTTTCTGTGACAGGTCAAGAAATTTGGGCTGCCTCAAGCGCTGCTGGTCCAGTTCTGGTCCAGCAGTGCCATAATAGAGTCCATCATCACATCCTGCATCTCCATCTGGTTTGGCTCTACATCTTTGCACACCAAGCGTAAGCTGCAGAGAACAGCTGCAGTCCCAGTCTCCTCTACTGTAGTCAGTGCACATATGCATTTGACTTGTTGCAGTTTACATATTTAATAAATATTGCTGTTGTCGGAAAGAAAACCTCATACGTATCTCCAAAATGGTGACTTTACAGTAGAAGGAAAAAACCTATTTTACTCTTAACGTAAGTCAATAGAACCCGACTTTTTTCCAAGTCATTTTGGGCCGTTTCTTTTGGTCCATTCAAATGACAAAAATGGAGATTTCTTCTGACAGCAGCGATATGTTAACGTGCGTTTACATTTATATTTGCTGCTCAATTCTCTTCAGCTGTACATACTGTATATATGTGCCTCAGTACTGCAGTACCTGTATCTGTACTATCTACCACATCCTTTTACTTGCAGTGTGCATATTATCTATTTTGTGTTATATAGTATAGATATATAGTATATTTTTTTCTTTATTTATTATATTGCATTATTCATGTTGACACCTGCACCAAGAGAAATTACTTGGCAAATAAAGATTCTTATTTTCAAATTATTTCAAAAAATGAAAAAAGAAGTGGAGATAAATAGTTTCGCCCCAACAGTGATGATATGCAGCTTACAATTTCAGCACCTCTGATTTAAAACACTTTCCCGTGTCCCTGCTGTTCCCCAAAAAATAGACAAAGGTTCAGACAAAAGTCATGTTTCAAGATATCTGTGACTACCATTAGCTATGCAAAAGACTTTTGTTAATATTTGTCATACACTGTCAGTAAAATGATGAGCAAGTCTATTTGAGATTGCATAACAACTCAACGCAGTTTGAAGTGTGTGCTGATTTAGATATGCAGTTTACACAGTGTTAACCAATGTACAAAAACTTACATTACTTGTTAGCTAAATTAGCCAAGTGCAAAACTAAAGAAGCACATTTCAGACACCAAACATGACTTTGACTGATTATGAGGGGGAAAACAGTGTAAATTAGAATTTTCACTGAGCTGATGCACAAATATTTTTTTTGTTGGTTTTGTATGTTAGTATGGTGACTATGTGCGCTCTGTCCTGCAGCTCCGTCGGAGGTTGGAGAGAGAGCAGCAGGAGCAGGAGAGGCAGCGGGAGCTGGAGGAACAGCAGAAGGTAAAAATGCAGTGATGCACTGATCTGTAAGTGCTATTATTCATTATAATCAGTTACAATAATATTCTACAGTAAAGGAGGATGCTCACTTTTTGGCCAAAATAACATTTTTAGGCAATTTTAAAACACAAAAATCCAAGAAAAGCTCTGTGTTTTTTTTTGTTGTCTATATTCCACTAGTACAGTCGTGCTTTGTTGATTTTCTAAGTGAAAGTAAGTTAACACATCCTCCACAGAGAACATATTTCAATGCACAATCACAGTTTGTTTGCTAAGTACTAAAAAAAATAAAGGATGAAATTTGAGATTTCATGGATTCCTAAGGGGCTGTAATCATACTGAATCACTGTGAGGTCAGAGATTTACACGCCTAACATGCAGCTTTCTAAATGCCAAGGCAAGGCGCCGGCCGGCCCAGCCTCAGCTATGTCCATCAGTGGCGATAACACTATTTATAACCAAGTCTGATACCCGGGGCTGTGTCTTTCCAGCCTTCCTCAACAGACTTACTTGTAAGCCTAATTGCGCCTGATTGCATTACTTGTACATTCCTCTTGGCTGCAGCTGCGTTTGCAATGACCCCTGCTGCCCAAACCAAACAATGTTGAGTAGAGTTATGGCAATTCTTACAATATTACTGTTTCTGCACTTCCTTCACATGAACAGCCAACGGAGGGAGAGCATGGCGAGCTGGTAGAGCGTCAGCACTGTAGTGAAGGCAGAGGGCCCAGTGTAGGCCCAGGGAAGGTGTGTTTGTGTGTGTGTAAGGAAAGAAGCCTCCCAGCTGCATGTGATCTGCTGCCAGCACATCGACGGTCTAACGGGAGAGCGTGAGGTCACCAAAGGACAGACTTGTTGTTGTTGTTTCCATTGTGATTGGCAAGTCTACAAGTCTCGCCTTGCCGTTCTTCTGAGTCTAGTCCCAGCTTTCAATTCTGGAAGCATCAAATGGCATAAAATAACAGCAGCACAGACTAGGGCTGCACAATGTGGACACAATACTACACATTGTGGTTGTGATATGCTTTACAATACTGCATTGTTGAATCCATAATGTTACTTACGAAAAAATGGCTGTATCGTTTATTTTTGTTGGATTACATTAGGCTCAACACTAGAACAAAATCATGAATGGAGCATCTAGATATCTCTGTGGGGTGGGCCAGGGGTCATGGGCAGCCCATCTACGTTTTTCGAAGTCTGCTGCTCCAGTTTTCTCTGTTGCTAGCTGGTTGGTTAAAGGGGAACTCCACCGATTTTGTAAAATTACTCAATCAGTGGTTTAGATGTAAACAAAACCATTTAGAGTGGTTCGGTGTGAAATGCGCCTTTATTGAGAAATTTACCAAATCAAAATTGTTCACCATTATAGGATGGGAACCAGACGTCCAAAACATTTAATGGCTCTAAAAGCTACATCTGGTTAAGTTATTACACAAAATAGTTATGAATGCTTTGCTTGGTACATAAAAGTTTTGTAGGCCAAAAGGCCTAAAAAGTATTTTTAACATAAACTATTATGCCAAGATCACTTCCGTGTTTCCTTTCAAAACCACATTCTCAACTGAGATTAGTGCACGCAAGCTAACATGCCTTTGTTGTTACTGGCCTTCAAGGCACAGTTCAGCACAGCTAACGCCAGCAGCAGCTTTTGTTTGCAGTGTCTTCTTACCTATTTTGGAAGATGGCAGGGCATGCGCAGGACTTCGAGTATGTCTGTTTTCAAAATGTCATAGAGCCATATCGATTTGAACCAGAACACACAAAGGAGTTGCAGAGAAGAAGAGAGGGAGAGAGAGGGAGAGAGAGAGACTGAACCCGCCGGCGCCAAAGCAGGACAAACCAGGCTGAATGCAAATTGGTGGTGTCAACAACAATCTACTTGCTATTCTGCTTACCAGTTTATGGGGTAGGAGAGCGAGGCAGATAGTTATTTTACTGCGTGGTCCATCTTAGACAGTCTGTAAGCTAACGGCTAACAGTGATATATGCACAGTGGCTAACGAGGACTAATTTATTTCACTCATGAATGTTTCTTACCTTGATTCCAGTTTCTGTGGTGGAAAATACAACAGAGGAAACATCAGGTTTCTTTAGCAGCCGGCATTTGAATGATTTAATGATTAAGTAATTTTGCAAATTTTGCATCTAAATGATTTAATGTAATTTTGCATCTAAATGATTTAATGATTAAGTAATTTTGCAAAATTGGTGGAGTTCCCCTTTAATGTTTCCTGGCATACCTAGCTAGCTATCATTTGTTTATGATGAGATCATTTGGGTCTGGGAAATCGAAGAGTTTATCAACATAGAAAAAACACTAAAATGCTAATAGACCGCTTGCATTTTTTTTAGTTCCATATGAGCATGCCACACTAAAAGACAACAGCAAAGTGTGCATAAAACGTCATTGTTATAGTTTTCTACACACATTTCAAACAATTTCAAATCAGAAAATAAATATTTTATGTAACTACTCTTAATTCAGACTTTATGTATGTAGTTTTGGTCTGTTCAGTGGGGCAAGATGATTAGTTGGTGGGGCATTGCTCCAGTAAATGACACCCTGATGCTGAACCTGGATTACATGATGGTTGTGATTCATCCAATCACCCACAGCAACACTTACCTGGAACTGTGATTGCTCAACATGGTTACAGCTCATTGTAAAACTAAACAAAAAACCCTCTGTGATTGGTCAGAGGGCTCATCTGCACATTGCAGCCTTCCAGGAAAAAACAACACTAGCTAGACATTTTTTTTTTCTCTAAAAATGTTCTCAGAATATTACATACATGTTCTATTAAAGTTTTCAGAGGGAAGGTTTTTTTTCCCAGAATGTTCTTCCTAAAGGTAGGATAACATTCTCTAAAAACATCATCATGTAACACAATCTGTGGTCCTGACAACATCCTCAAACATCATCTGAACGTTGCTATTCAAATGTTATATCTTAGTTAACATTTTGCCTTATAGGAACATTATTTTAAATGATAACCATCCGTAAAATGTTCTTTGAACATTAGATTAAAAGGTTTTCTTAACAAAATTATTACAACTTGAAGTTAGCCAAATGTGGCAATGTTCCCTAATAGCTGGGATCATACTGTGCAGGCATAAACTACATAAAAATGATCTTAAATTGTTCTTGGTACGTTTTGTTCTAGGAAAAACCCTTTAATTTGAATAGGACCTTTTAATTACATGGAGGTTATACACAAACATTTCTTCAAACTTGCACATCTCATTTGCAAAACTAGTTCTTCAAAGGCCTATTAAAAAGTTCTGTACTGAACCAAAGTTTTTTCTATGGCATCACTCCAAAGAACCTTTTTTTTAACCTTTCCTGAGCATAGATGGATTACTCGCCTTCTCCTATCCACGTGTCATTTCAATAGGTTTTCATTTGGCCCCTAATTGCAAAAAGATACAAACTGAAGGTTGACTACTTGCACTTCCTTCCTGCCCAGCTGCTGACTTGGTCTAGGCTTAGAAGAGACAGAGGCCTAATGCTGGTCAGTGGTAGATGAAGCAGTGACCGGCCTTGGTTACCATGTGTACTCCATTCGATCCATTTACCATCCATCACCATCATTTTCCAAACCAAATAAATAAACAGAACTATATAGACAGCTTTGGCAATCCCTCTCCCACCCTCCATTACTCCTTTGTATGCCTACGGGTGTGTGTTTGGGAAGGGGAGCAGGGTGTGAACGTTTCAAGCGTCTGAGGAATGAGGTGCCGGGACATGTTTTTAAAAGCCGTTACAAGCGGAGGCGCTGCGTTTCAATGCTTTCCATATGCTGACAAGCTCCAGGCGTAGCACTCTGCCTATAGGAGCTACACAATGTGCAGGAAGAAGTATCCTCACAGGACATGTTTTAAGTGCAGAACAGCAGAGGGTCAGGCCCAGCCCTATTATATCACACTACATCAACTGGATCGTCCCGACACGGACAGAAAGGCCTGTCTCTTAGCAACACAGGAAGCGATTTTTCAGCATTAGGTATTCTGCAGTATTTTGGGGTTAGGCTTAAGGTCCAGGAGGAACCATCTCTTCTCAGAAGAAGACAGTTAAAATACTTAACCTCCTGCTAAATATGTGAACTGTCCTCATCCTCCAGACCAGTAGGCACTCCTACAGCAACACTTTTGCAAATGAGATAAAGCCCATATATGTGATCTTCTTCTGCTTTTAGCAAGATCACTCCAGGCAAGGAAAAGCTATGCTCTTATTTTGTACTGGCTGCATGATGCAAAAACACATTTGATGATTCAAGCACGCAGTTAGCATGATGCTAGCAGTTGGCTATAAGTTTCCATTGCTTGTTACCATCATTATTCTCATAGCTCTGGTGCAAAGCTAAGGATCCAAATTTCAAAGGCCAGACCTCTCGGCTGATCGACCAAGACCCCTCGGCTGATCGACCAAGGTTTGGATCTTTAGTTTTGCACTGCAGCTATGAGGATAATGAAGGTAACAAGCAAGGAAACTTATAGCCAACGGCTAGGATCACGCAAACTGCATGCTTAAATAATCACAAATGTGCCTCATAGCGTGTTATTAATTGATCTCAAATGCACTTGTGTATGGTGTTTCGTACACTGTATGACTTTAGTATATACCAGGGATCGGCAACCCACATGTTAAGAAGAGCCATTTTGTCCCTTTTCAACAAAAATGAAACCACATTAGGAGCCACAACATTTCATGGCCATTTTGTTGAAGGTTTTACCATCTTGGCTGTAAATATGTCTCAGTATGTGCAGATGTCCTGGCATAGGCTAAAATTAGAAAAAAAAATCCAACCTTACTTTGATCTGCTTTGAGTTTTAGCTCAGCTAGCTGCTTTTCTCACATCTCCAGCAGAAAACTTTTCTGCAAAAGTAGAATAGTGTTTTGTAAAATGTCTATTAACATTCTACTTTTTACGAAGCTGAAGTCAGCTTCTCATTCGCCAGTTTATTATTCAAATTTTCCTGTTAAATGGTGCCTGAGGTGCCAGATTGTAGCTAACTATGTAGCTAACCGTTGCACCATTTAAGGTGGAATGAGAAAATTCAAACAAGAAGCTGTCTGACTTCAGCTTCGCGACTTTTTAGTGCTTGACAGTTTCTCGTTGCAGATTAATTGTCTCAGGAAACCAGCTGAGTGCTTAGAAATGCAAATGACTCTGTCCAGTTATCTCCAAATTATCGATTTTCCTCTAAAATCTTTCTTTTTGCCTTTTTGTTAGCTACTAGGTAGGCAAGATTGTTATCTGCGTTACTATGTGACCAACAGTCTGCACGCCAACCTTCAGGGTTAAAGGGAGAATAAGCAGTTGTAACTTCAGCGTTTAAGACCATTTCTTGATAAAACTGTGCTGTAATGATCAGCAGAGCTTTATTTTACTGCAAACGAGGATTATTTTATTTTTACCTAAAAATTTAATTCTGCTATAGAGCCGCAACAGAGCAGTAAAAGAGCTGCATGAGGCTCCGGAGCCGCATGTTGCAGACTCCTGGTATATACTATACATAAATGGAAAAAAGTATGGACAAAAATTCAGGCTTCAAGATCAGTGCTACTACTGTTTTTAGCTACATGCTGTTGTCACCTTAATGTAGACATTAGTATGTTATACAGTGACAGCAACCACATAAACAAGCCTGTTTGAGATTACTTAACAACTTGATGTGGTTTGAGGTAAGTGTGTGATGATTTAAGCATGCAGTTTACACACTGCTAATCAGGGCCACGTAAGCTTCCATTACTTGTTAGCTACAATAGCCTCGACGTTCCAGTGCAAGATTAAAGAAGTTCAAAAACGTGGCTAATTAACTACATTTAGAGTACAAGGAAAACTGTAAATGTGACTTTTGGCCAAGTTATCAGTAAGTTTTTTCTGTTATTGATCATATTGCTAATAAGTTCTTGAGTGTCAGACTGAATTGTGTGAGGTGGGTCTGTTTGTTTCCTCTGAAGAAGAAGGAGGAAGAATGGAAGTTTCATGTGTCGAAACTAGCATCTGAACGTGAGTCACTCCGTGAGAGATTACACAGGCTACGTGAATTTAGGGTGAGTTAACACCATTAGCCTTACACATAAACACACAAACACATGCACATACATGTTTGTTTTTATACCTTATCAGGATGTGGGGTCATGCGTATGTCCCTGTATGTCTAAATTTGATAAAGTACTCATTTAAATACATCAGCTGCCCTTTACACTATGTGAACACTTTATGATGAATTGACAAATAGAAATGGTCCAAAATTACTTCCAATAAAACATTTAGGTCACACTTTATTTGGATGGACCCCTACAGATGATCTACAGATACTTAAATCTTTCAAAAACTTTCTGGTGATACTCATGATTATCAACAACATTATAGTTCGTGTTAGGTTTAGGAGTTGGTGTAGGTTTTGCCCTGAGGTTAGGATTAGGGTTAGGTTTAGGGTTAGGGGTAGATTTAATATAATCTTCCACACTCAATTTCAAGTTCACTTGCATTTAATAGATATTTAGTTGAATGTTGGGCCATGTACAGTGGACCATCCAAATAAAGTGAGGGCCAGGAAGGTCGCTGGTTTGATCCCCAGACCTGACAAGACATGACTGAAGTGCATTTGAGCAAGGCACCTAACCCCCAACTGCTCCCCGGGTGCCGTGGATAGGGCTGCCCACCGCTCCGGGCAAGTGTACTCACTGCCCCCTAATGTGTGTGTTCACTAGTGTGTATGTGCACAGATGGGTCAAATGCGGAGGTGAATTTCCCCGTTGTGGGATTAATAAAGGAAAACTTACTTACCAACATCTACATCAAAAGTAGCCTTACATTTTCTTTCTTTCCCTGAAAATTTTTGTATTTCCCATTTTGGGGATATGAGTTTTTGTTGTTTTGATATGTAACCACGGTGCAAAAAGTTATATAATAGCTATAAAAGTTATATATGCTATATAATATTAGAATAAATAGAAACTAACATTAAGTCTGCAAATAAAATTAATGATTTCTTTTTTTTTTTTAAAGTAGTTTTGGGCTAGTTAGAAAAACACCAAGCCATTGTATAGATTTGTTAAATTTCATCACAGCACATGTTTTAACTTAATGAAGTATTGATTAGACTAATGACAATATTGGGCTTCCACAAGGAGAGATTTGGAAATCGTTACTAATTATATTACTATTACATGCTTTTCCGATAAATTCTTACTGCCCAGACAAACAGCTTTTAAATAGAATTTTCTCAGGTGACTAAGACTAAAACTTGCACAATGCTGTATATGTAATAAAAAATGTTCTAAGCTTAAACCTAAATCTAAATTTAAAAAGAAATTCCTTTAAAAAAAATCAGGATCACTTTGTTGTTTCTGTAGGTTCGCTCAGTGTTTCTCTGGCATTCCTACAAATTCATGCCATTTTTGTCCCGATACGTACACACATGCCCAAATATACACAGATACAGAGATAAACCACACAGATGTGAGATTCAAGGACAGACTGACTCAACCAGACCAGATGTTACATCCCACACACTGAGCAGTGCCAGGTCCCTCTGCCTTAGACCATCACGGACACAAAAGGAAACCACAATTTTTTAACAATACACAAATGATTACAAACTCAATTCTGATGGAGAATATGTCAACTCTCATAAGTGCACAGTGTTCTGAAACTATCCATGATTTGAGTTTTATGTGACTGAGCACAATTATATCTGGTTTCAGTTTTTCATATCTGATTACAGTGCTTGAAATCATATAAACATGTAAATGAAATAAATGATACACATTAAGCTTGTTCCTGGGAGCGTACTACAGGCTGCTGTTTTACTTATTTACACTCAGTTTTCTTCTTTCAGGACTTTCAGAAAAGAGTGTTGGTGCAAGACTTGGGCCTGGATCCAGATAAACCCAATGAGAAGCTCACGCAGCTTCTTATGAGACTGTAATGATGGTTATATGAAGGTGTTATATGAATGATGGATATATGTGGGTGTAAAATTGGCTGGAGAAAAAGTGATGTTACAGTATGATATTTCAGATTTAGCATGTTAAAGATTTAGCATGTTAAAAAAACTATTTGGCTGCTGCAATATTTTGATTTTACTGAACTTAAAATAATAAGTTGACAGAATACAACTTGCTAATTATTGTTCTGTTAACTCTATTAAAAGTTCAACAAACAATAGATTAAGGCAGTCAAGTTGCTTACTTTAAGTTAAAGCTACACTATGTAAGATTTGGGGATTTGGAGACCTCTCTGGTGGAAATGTGTAACTGCACACAACATGCTGAAAGAACATCAGCTGTGTTTTGGACCTTGTTTATGGTCGTTTATGTTTGCATCTCTTGATTTAGTTTGAGGTCTGTAAACATAATGTACACCTACAGATGCTACCACTTTTTCTTTTCCAATGTCAATACTGAAGGCTTGAGTATCTGCCGATCCCGATCAGATATTTCTTCTTTAAAACTATGCTTTAACCCCTTAACAATTCAGCCTTATTACATACAACGACTTCAGTAGCTACAAGGACTTCAATGCAAACTAATGGAGCTATTCTTAGGTTATAGAAGTGTGTAATAATACTTTGGGCCTGCTTATTAAGGGGTTAAAATGGGCTGTTTTTAAATGAACTCAGGATGAGCACCTAAAAGTAGACTATGATGCTTAGAGTACTCAAACACTCTGCTACCCCATAAGAAGAAATACACACCTAAAAACAGTGTTAGTGTAATATTTCAGGATAGGTTTGTTATAGTATTGGATCCATACTTTTTCCCCTCCGATATCCAATCCAGCATTTTCCTGGTATCAGATCAATCAGATCAAAATCTCTAATTACATCACTGCAGTGTGGCTAATAGGAGATAAATAGAGCTCTTGGTGAAGCAATGTGGGTCATAGCTGGCAAGAACTAAAATGGTCAAGTGACAAATTAACACAAAGTGACGATGAAGTGCTAAGATAAGCATGTGCATGCCAACTTAATTTTTCATGTGACATCCATAAGGAGTGCCTTAAAGGAGTACACCACATTTCAGATGGAATTGTGGGAGGTGTGGTTTTGCAGTTAGTCTCCAAAACAGGTGTGATCCTTACACATGTGGCTCATAATATCTAGATTTGTGTGCTTTCTTCAAGAACTTTCAATGGATCCTCACAACTATGGGAAAAGTGTGAAAAGCAGAAGAAAGACAAAAGAATGAGAGAAGAGAAAGAGGTGTATATGTGGAGGGGCTCTAGCATTTCCAGCAGTGCAGGTCTAGTATTAAATAAAGGAGAATCTGGGGAGTCATGTTGCAGCGCGTCTGGACCCTGAGGGCAGGAAAATGCCAGGCTCTAGTGTTTCTCTCTCTCTCTCTCCTCTCTCTCTCTCTCTCTCTCTCTCTCCTCGATACATAAATACAGACATCACAAAACACCTCGATCTGCCTCAGCCATGGCTGCTCTACACTAAAATACTCTAGTCTGTTACTATTTTAATTCATCTTGTGTCAAGCTGTGCAGCATAATCTGATACAGACTGTGCAAATAAAATAAAATTGAAAACATCCTGCATCAAATAAAGTGGTTATTTCAATTATCACTGCATATCTGTTTTGAGACTGTAAATGATACACATAGTGTATCAAATAATCAAAACCATGAACAATATAACCTATAACATACTACATAAGTGCATGGAATGCTTTTCTGCCACTTGTAAAAACCTGCTGAACTCTAGCCCAATTCTTGCCAAATTCCGTTTGAAATGAAACGCTTAACTGAGCGTAATTTCAGGATATTTTGTTCTGTCCTCTAGCTGCACTATCACGCAAATGGCTTTGTACGATCAACCCCACTCTTTATTTCTTAATATTAAACTCATCTTGCCTTTTAAGGCTCTTTCAGCTCATTTCATTGTGCCCTAATTCTTTGCAGCACAACAAACAACGAGCTTTTCTAGGCAGTACTTCTGTATGAAAAAGGCTCCTCCGCAGCTGCACTAAGAGTCAGAAATATAGTCGAGGGAAATGAGAGAGGAGGTCAAAAGAGATCACTTGAGACAAATCAGGTCAGCTCGAGGTTTCGTCAACTTGACAAAAGAATTGCTACAGGCAGGGCTTACGTGGTGCACATGTGTACCTACACATTCAAAATGGAGTAATCTGGAGATACTTGTACACACACACACACACACACACACACATATGCAGACTTGTTTTTATGCCTTGTCATGATGTGGAGTCATACATGTGTATTATATGTAGGTACTTACATGTATTAATATATCCTATTTGTTTTATATGTATGTCAGTACCTATACGTAATCTAATAATAATTAAATATGCCGTATGTATTATATATACAGTCGCAGACTAAAAATTGAACATCCCTGGTCAAATTACATTTTCTTAATTTTCAAAACACATCTTCCACAGGGAAGTGACTCAAATATATAGTTTTCTGCAAAAATGTGCCGTAACTTTTGCACTGGCCACATTTTATGTTTAATATTGTGCATTTAAATGTGTTCACTACTGAGGATGTGTTAACATATTTTCACTTCATCAAAATGTAATTTACCACTCAAACTTTGGCATATGATGGTATATATAAGTACCTATATGTTATAATTATATGTCCCATATATGTTACATACATATAAGAACCTACATAACCTATATGTGCCCTGTATGTATTATAGGCAATATGTATTGTAATAATATTTAGAATATATAATATACTGTACACAATGTGTGTAAGTACATGTAAATATATGTAAATGCCACTGAAAAATGACAAAAATGGAGATAAAAAGTTTTCTTCCGACAGCAGAGCCATCTATAGTTACTTTACAAGATCAGTGCCATGTCTTTGGTTATGAAGATGAGTCTTGGTTTTTTTTCTGGTTTTGCTACGAAGTCAGGACATTTTTCCTGAAAACGTACAAGAACAAACTCACACACCTACACAAAATGGAAGAATTCTAAGGTGAAGCCAACACTTGAAACCATGTGAAACACAAGTATGTAACATCTCCAGAGAAAGAGTAGATGCCCCGGAGGGAATTCTGGGAGGAAGATCTGAGTGCTGCCCCTCTGTGCCTCAGCTTTGAAACTCAGCATGCAGGCCTCATTCTCCAGCTTTTGGAAATACGTCCAGCTCCAAGGAACACATGACCATACATATTCACATGCAGTGGGGAAATGGGATAAAACATAATGAGCATCATAAATAACTAAACCACATAATGGGCCTTTCATTTCTGTAAAACAACACGTTCAGAGACAGACACAACACAACTCAGGGAGACTGTTTTCAGGGACGGTTTAGTGTCTCTCTACTTTGATCCCCCTGAAAAGTCCTTTGAGCTTTTTGCATTCACTTCAGTATTTTCATGGTGAGCCCTGCACCCTGCCTAACCCTGCGAAAAAATGCCTAAAGGGAGAAAAGCAGGCAGGTTCCCGGCACTGATCTCCACCTACTGCTCCTACTGCTCTTCAGCACTTTGCCAGTGAATGATTCTATTACAAAAACGCCTGACGTCACACTTACTGCACCAGAATCTTTGATGGTAGTAAATGATACCTTAGACTCGACACAATGTCTCAGTTTATGGCCTGCATCATTAATAAAACTACCACTACAGGAGTTTCTGCACAGGAGCACAGTACAAGGAGTACACCCAGACACAGCTCAGCATGCCAACCAAGTCATTTGCCAACCAAATCACATGCTGACTGGAGCTTTGTAAGGTTATTCAGTCATCAGCCACTTCTGTCAGAAAGAAAAGAGAACAGATTATAATTACAAGGTGAAGCTGGCCTCTTGCTTGTATCCCAGTTTCACATGATGACAAGAGGCTTTGGAGAAGATTACATGTCATCAACAAGACACATCTGAATGGAGTCAGGGGCTTGCAGCAGGTGGGTAAAGGCAGATTAACAATGTGCAATAGGGGTGCTGCTCTGTGCTTCTTGAGGACATGAAACAAGTTCCAGAAAAACTTTGTTAGATGAAAGATCTGAGGACTAACACACCACCATCTTTTCTGGACATCACGGCTGTCCTAACACAACCGTGTATCTTTGAGAATGCTAACTTTGTAAGAGCAAAAAAGCTTTTTTTGAACTGTAATGTACATTAATAGAACCAGATTTAGTCCCAAGCAATCACAGACCATTTTTGGGCAGCCAGTGTTTTCATATGGTGTAAATAACAAAAAAAATATTTTGATATGACTGGAGTAGTGGCTACATTCACAGCACACATTTAAAGAGGCACAAATCTGTTTTTTTGTCTTAAGGCACTTTCACCTACCTTGTTTGGTATGGAGAACAAACATTCTCTTTAGTTTGGTTCATTTTGACAGGTCTGAACACTCAACCCGTCCTCAGGGCAGGCCATCACTCCTGAAGAATTTAATTTTGGTTCACAGCTGGTTTTATGCTTTTCAGGCAATTTCAAATGCAGTTATGGAACCTTTTTCCAGCACCCAGCTTGGTTGGTGTACTGAAACTATGTAGACCACAGAATGCAGAATATCTGCTGCTGAATAAAAAAGCCATACTGCTCTTTGAGGTGACTTCAAAGTGAAACGTTTGAACTGACAGATCCAAACAAGGATCATCATCTATAGGTCTGTCGCTTTCACAACCACAGTGTGTGTCATCCTGATGTGAAAATTCTACATTCAGAAATTTCATATGCCCCGAACAGATACAGTGCCGATGCCACTAAAGAATGCAAACACACTGGCCTGGCAGCATGGAAGGAAATCTGCTTGCACGTAATTGGGATTAAATGTGTTTATTCTTCTTGCATGAGTATTAAGTCCTGTCGGTCCTTTGAGAAATAGAGAGAGTGATGGCCAGATGTTGGTCTTCCTTATCCAGCCTTCCGCTATATACCAATCCTTCCCTGACTGATGATGGCCAAGCCAAGGGGAAGTTTATGGGTACAGCCCAAAACTGCCCTAGAGTCATAAACATGGCCAGCGGTCTGCCAACTGCTAAGCTGTAAAATCATCAGGAAAAGATGCCATGGTATATTTAAGAACTCAGAAGAGGTTAAGTAAATGTTCCCTTAACTTGCCACCTATAAAGTTATAAGCTCTATATATGGTTGACAGTACTTGTGCCCATGTCTTAGCAGATAATGACTATTGACTGGTCTTTTTAAGGTGAGATGTGATGAACTGTATCTAGCCCATACCACTGAGGTACATTAAAGAATGCAACAGTCAGTTACAATGAGTTGCAAGAGTCAAGGTATGTTTGTTTACCTATGATCCATCACCCAAAAGACTCATAGGTTTACCTATAAGCAAACTCAGCAAGTTCTTCTTGTTTTAGGATTTGCGTCTTTAAGGAGAAAAATCTGTAGCAAGATTTGACACTCATTTAGTTTGTAATTCTAATATAGCAATCTAAGGCAATATGTGCTGAAATTTGTGGTCACGTATAATAGGAAGTACATTTACTTGCTCACAGTTGCATGGCTATCTAAACCTAACTGGCATAGACGCCAAAAAATAGAGGCCAAACCCTCAAAGTGATTATCATGCTCATTTCTGATGTCCCAAAGTCTCGGCAAAATTACACAGCACAGTTTTAAAAGGCTGAGCTTGGTAGACCAGGCATGCCATCACTCTTCTGTTTTTCGAAATCTATTTTGTTTTACATCTTATGATTCTCAGATCAACCTATGATTTCTCAATGGATGAGGTGCATTGCAACTATCAGTATGTTGAAGTCCATTAAAAAAACAATCATAAATTACAATAAGCTGCAAAAGTCCAGGACTTACCACAAGGCCCTAACACATACATGGATCTTATCAACAGACCTTAAAAGACACCCTGAGACACACCCCAGCGGCGTGCCTCATGGCCTTATTTACCTATCAGCAAACTGAACAAGTCATTGTGTGCTGTCTATGAGGATTTGCATCTTTAAAGAGAGAGATCTGTAACAACATTTGACACATTTGACACTCACTGTATTATGTATTGATTTTTTTGTACAATACAATTTGTGCATTAAAGTACAGTTTTTGTTCCTTATCTCTTATTGACTGATGAGTTTCATAATCTCTATTAAACCAAGAGATGTCACATTATTCAGATAAAACAAATAAAACCTACAGTGATGTCATTACCTGAGAAAATGAAAAGTTATAATTATTTGCTGTGATACGCTACATCTCATAAAATTTGCAAAGCAGTTTGTGTTTGTGCAGTTCCACAAATTGTGCAATGACCGCCATGAGTATGGACCAGATGTGCACTTTAGTTTTCGAGTTGAGCCAAAAAAAAAAACTCTTCCTCTTAGTCTTAAAACAGATGGGGAGAAAAATAAACATTCCAAAATGTGCAAGAGGCCCCTAGGATAAGAGACTGTCAGAATCCCACTCCTACTCCAGTGTCTGCTTCAACTGTGCATGGAATGACCGCAGGCCTTTCTACTAAGCCTCGGCCCCTCGGCCGGGATGATTTTGACTCCTCTGCAAATTGCGTGGACACATCACGGCTTTAAAAAGAAATAAAATAAAACATGCCGCCTGTGGACATATGCTTCAGACATTACAGTACAGGGATTACATAAATAATGACCTCTCTTACTTTTGCTCCAGTGAGAAAACACTGCATAGAGGGTGCCATGTCCCCCCCTTAACAAACTCAATGGAGAGCTCAGCCATGCCCTCCTCCTTTCTTCTCCTCTCCTAAGTCCTCCACTCCCAGCACTCTGGGCACTCTGAAGATTGATTGGCCAGGTGACCGCCCCCCCTCCCTACGCTCACACGGCCGTGTGCCTGCCTGCCTCACTGTGGGGCGATGTGGAACCCTGGCGGGTGAACTGGCTGAAGCTGGCGGCTCGGGGGCGGGTGCGGGACCGTGCGGTCAATGGGATGGTGGCTCCTGCAGCGACTGGGTCGTCAGTCTGGGCAAGGTGGGGCAGGGGAAGCTGCGGTTCCGAGGTGTCCTGTGCCAGCTGGGACAGCGGGGATTGCTGCTGCCGGGTATGCGTGGCCTCTTTGGAGAAGAGGCTTTGGATGAGCTGGAGTTTCTCCTTCTCCTCGTTCATGAAGACGTCCACCAGCAGTGTCTTCTCCCGCTTCAGCTGCTCACTGACGTTCTTCGGCACATCGGGGATCACCCATGCTACCAGCAGGCCCATGAACATCACCAGGTTCTGGTATGCAGACACACAAGTAAACATTACAGCTACAACAATGCAGGAGCTCAATAGGTCAGTACAGAAAGTCACACTCAAGACTCCTTCAAATAAACAGCCAAAATCCATCTCCTGTCACTAAAGCCAACTTAACACTTACTGTTTTCATTTTTCTCACAAGTTCACTGATGGAAAGCACTATAGAAAAATAAGCAATACAGGAAGTGTTGGCTTTAGGAGAGGAACTAAAGAAGGTATAATATGTTAATTAATTTAATTTATTAAGACAATAGTTGACGGGTGAATTAATTCTAAAAAATATTATAAAAAGAATCATTAATCAACAGATGTTGATAAAAGGTAGTGGGAGGAGGGAGAGAATGAGAAGCTGACCATAAGAGGGTGGAGCAGGAAGAAAACAATAGACCGCTTTAGAATGCAGACAGAATATCTCTTAATGTGTGTGTTTCTTTAAGCCGACAGGACGTCATGGTGTTACATTTCACTCACTTCTCTTGTGCCAATGTTATCTGTTACGAGCAATGATTACTAACACACAGCGGCTGGGAAGGTTACTTTCAAAATGTATTCTGTTACAGATTACTGATCACCTAATTAAAAATGCAATTAGTAACATAACCTAAAGGATTATGCAATACCAGCCACATTTACCAATTACATTCCATTAATTTTGAATTATTTTCCATTTAAAACTACATTTAAAAAAGGTAAATTAAGCTTTTTCAAAAAGGAATTAGTAATATACCCTTTTTCGCAGTACACAGTAAGGAATTGTGGTACTATTTTGCATTTTAAACACAGAATCTTGTTTAATCCATTTAAATAATGTGTTTTGTTGCTGCTCATGCATCCTAACAAGGAATGTAGGGAGTGTAGATAACAAATAACAAAGAGCCCAAGAATTGACTTACTGTGCTGATCCATAAAAGCAAAGTGTTTTTGCTGACTTTCCCCACATTCTCCACACCTCTAAATTGGAGGTGCTACTATAACACCTGGCCAAAATTCCTTTTTCCCCACTAAAAGTACTAAAGCACATACAGTATGTTCTATTGTCAGCATCAACCTTTGAAAACTACATTACATCATTAGCAGCATTTTTATAGAGGAAAACCTGCCTCATGAACAGGAGTCATAAATACACGGCAGTGCATTTTTATGTGTTTGGAAGCTTGACCTCACTCTGCTGCAATCAGCAACTCTCTGGGATTTGGGTTAAAGTAAATCACATAGGCCAAAAAGCACAGTTGTAAAGTAATGCCTGGACAAAATCTGATGAGGTCAAAAATGATTTCTCTCCATGACAAAAAGAGAAGGCCTCCATTCTATGTGAGTTGCAGTGAAAGAGGATTTTCTAGGGTGAATGGTGGCGGCTGAACAGTGTACAAATGCATCAATGCATTGTGATGCATTAATCTGAAGTTGGTAGAACTTTAATGATTATAAAATGTTGGAGTGGAATCAACTACATTTGACTATAGGGACGGTAAAGTTCACTCCGGCACTAAAAAATGGGCCAAGCCAAAAAATGACAAAACATTAAGTTTTAATGGTCTTAGCGGCAAATCATTAGTGAGTAAATTAGCAATAATTAAACAAATAGACCAAGTAACTTAGTATGGGAGAGCTTTTCCCTTTGATTTCTTTGGATGTTGAAGTCTTATGGCTAAACTTATAGCCTTTTATAGAAAGAAGAGTCAATATTGTAGTTTGTTTAATGTGAGACCAAATCTTTTCTATAGGGCTTAAATCTGGACTGTGACCAAAACCATTAGTAAAAAACATTTGTATTTTGGGCTTGGCCCATTTTCCTGTACAGGAGTGTACTTGCCCATTTTTTACCTTCTCTGGCTATTTTTAGACTTAGTGTATATTTTGAAATTCTATATTCCACTACTGGGGGTGGCACGGCAAGACTGGCCTGGGTTCGATTCCCGGCAGGGTGACTAGGGTCATTTCTGGGTAGAGTTTGCATGTTCTCCCCGTGTCTGCGTGGGTTTCCTCCGGGTACTCCGGTTTCCTCCCACAGTCCAAAAACATGCTGTCAGGCCGATTGGACTTGCTAAATTGCCCCTAGGTGTGAGTGACTGTGTATGTCTGTCTGTCTGCCCTGCGATGGACTGGTGACCTGTCCAGGGTGTATCCTGCCTTCCGCCCAATGACAGCTGGGATAGGCTCCAGCACTCTACCGTGACCCAGAAGGATAAGTGGTTTAGATGATGCATGTATGTATGTATGTATGTATATTCCACTACTGCGTAAACGTACGCTAATTTTCCAGTTTATTTTTAAAAATCATACCAGCATTATCAAATCAAATTGTGGTGAAATTTGAAGTCTGAACCACTGAATAATTTCTGAAGGATTAATGACATTGAAAACACTGTAACATCAAAGATTTATACCCCTATAGTAGCCAACTCGAAATCCATACCTGAAAGAGTATGACAAAGGCCAGTCGAGCTGCTAGGACTGACCAGTACTGTCTTGAGAACTGGTACGGCTCTGACGACCAGGGTGGCTCTCTGTAGTCCTTGTACCTGCAGACCGAAGAGCAGTTAAACATTTGTGTTCAGAGGGGGATATTTAAGGCAGCAGTCTTCAACAGTGAGCTGTTTTGCTGTCCGGCAATAAAAACAGAGGGCAAATCAGTAGCACATGCTTCACACATTCTTTCAGAGTGCTACATGGTGAAAGACAATAAGACGTCCTTATTAATCATTCCAGGAGATTTAGAGTACACTTTTTAAAGGCCTAGGAAGGCATGAAAACTGTGGCTTTTCTCTCAACACCTACTTGTGTCTGTGATCTTGCTCCACAGCATGTTCTTTGTGTGTCAGATTCTAAGATCAACTCAAGCGAAGAGTGGAGAAAAACTTCACAAGAGCTTTCAGGTTATCACAAGCCATCACAAAATAGTTACAGAATAAAATGTTGATGTTCCAGTGTCGAAAGTCATCAGATACCGCTGCGGTAAGAACGTGATTATAAGACCCTGTGGGACAGATACGGTCAGCAAAGTCAATGAAAACCTTACAGAATATGGCTGAACCTTCAGTTTTCATAGCATTAGATTAAATTGGCTGTAACCTAGCAAGTTCCCCAGAGTTTTGATTTCCTGTACTGAATTATCAAAACAGCGAGGCTTCAGGAGCTACACTGCTACTATTTGACTTCATTGCCATATACAGTAATATTCTTGGAACGTGTAAGACTGGTTTATATTGCCTAAGACAAGCAGCAGTCTTCGTCTGGAGAAATAATTTCTCAAGCTGAAACTCCTCATTTATGTAGAGCTATTTTAGCAAAAACTGCATATATGGTAGAGATCAAGATTTACTTGATTTAGTCATCCATAACCACTGTATATTTCACGGTATTTAGAAAGAATATTTATAGCATGTAGACAGCAATACCACCACTACCCCTCCTCAGTACTTCCCTCATTCTTTCCCTCACATACACACACATAGACACCAAACACACAGGGGTGGTAAAATCCTGACATCATGGTGCCACTAAAGTCTCTGGGGAGAGTGGCTAAAATGTGCCAGCAGAGGGGTCATCCTGTTCCCAACTGTCTGCACCAGCAGAGTCCATCTGTCTCTGATAACAGCATTCTTCACCACTGCCCTCCAGCTTGTGTCATCAAAGCCACCAAACACATTAAAGCAGCCTTCTAGATCTTACACTTCATGTGTATGATGGAGGGCTGGTGTGGAATCTATATGCTTTTCTTGCTCTGTTACTCTCTTTCAATTCTAAGATACCACTTCTACCCACCCTACACCCTATCCTGAGGATATTTCCCTGCCAATTATAGCTGCATTATCTGAGGCTTATCTCTGCTGCTACCTTTCATCAGCTTATCACAAGAAAACAGGAAAAGACACAAAAGACTGAAGATAGATGGGTATAATTGTCGTTTATCACTGCAGAAATTGTTGTCTCACACAAACTGACCATGTATGTGATGGAAAATAAAAATGTCCATTCCAGTTCAGTAGCGGAAACATATCATTTGTCTGATTTCTCTTCTTCTGAAGCGTCAAATGGTCGGATTAGCTGTAAACCTAAATGTAGTTACGAACATGACTCAAAAATTCAGGAGAATCGGTCAGTCTTATTTTCCTAAAATTGTTTTGCAGGAATTATCGAGGAAAAGAGCAAACAATGCCTTGCAGTCTCCAAGTAATTTTAGCCAGGGTTCAAAGTAATCCTTACCTGTCAGACCAGTTACAGAGAAACAGCGAGTGTAACAATGTGACGAAATGTACAATTATGTCATTCAAATCACTTCTGGAAAACGAGTTCAACACTGCAACACGATGCAAACAGATATCAAACAGGGATGTGCACAGGAACTCAAGTACTCGGTTAACCAATCAAGGTGTGAAAATTTGTTAAATCACTATTTGGCTTGGTTACATTCCGTCATAGGTAGACAAAGAAAACAAACAGACTAACAATTCAGCTTTAACAGTATAGTAAAATGAGCAGAGTTTGCTTGTTGTTTGTGAGTAAGTAAATGTATTATACTGTGCTACTATGAAACACGTCATACCGTGAGCATATTGCCAAGGACGTGCATCATTAAGGATGTAACAGAGACAACCAGCCTGGTGTGGCTGTATCATTAACTAGGCTGACTACTCTGACTGATGTTAGCTAGGTGCAGAAAAAGTGAAAAAACTTTCTCTGACAAACTAACAAATAGGCACATTGTGTACTTGTGTGAAGACAATGAGCACTCTTCAGCATCCAGTGTACAGGTTAGCCGTAGGTTTATCTCATTAGTTCCCAGAAAGAAAAACCCTTTGTTACACATCCAATATTGCAAACTACTGACAATTCCCTGGCTATTCTGTGCAATACTAATGCTCTCATTCATTTCAGCTATAGTTTATTCTTCTTCCACATGGTTAAACTGATTATCCTTTCAACACTTACAGGGCCCGCACTGGCCTCCACTGGACTCTACTGGACCATTATGGGGGAGCAATTGCTTCAAATGCATGATGTCAGTGTTTTGATATAAGATTAAAGATTTAAAGCCCTCGAGGAAGGCCAGTACAGCATCCAGCCCATTAAGATCTGAGCTGCCCCATGCTAAAAGAAGGGTGTGAAGTCATCTTTTCCCATCTTCATTGTACCTCGTCCACTCAAACAAAGCACAGAGCTGGAACTGCAAGACAATTTTGCTGAGCTCATTGTTGGGTGTCGTAGAGGTGAACTGTAAAGCTAAGAAAGGCATAGCGTGAGCTGTTCTAGTGACGTGGCAGTACGGCCATGCAGGGAAACTGATGCAAAATAGATGCGATCTCCCATGGTGTGGTCCTGCACTGTTAAGTGTACGCAAGACGTGCAAGACATGTTTATTTTAGACCCATGTGAAATGGGAAGAAACCATGAAATCACATGGCTGCTGACCACTCATTTACTCTGTGACTTTTGAAACAAACACCCTTTGAAATTGAATTGGTTCAGCTAAATTTGGTTAAACTGCCTAGGCTAAATTAAGCAACCTGCTTAGATCCAGTGTCAGTTTCTCATACAATTTCCTTATAAAGCATATTGCTTGTGTGAGCGTTGCTTTCTTTGCATTCTCTGCTCCATGTACCCAATGTAAACATACAGATTAAGAACCCATAATGATTCTTTGAAAGTATTAAACTACTGCTGAGGGCCTCACCTGCACACCGTGACAGCTGACGAAGCAGGCGCTGTGCCTGCTTTGAAATGGCTCACATTGAAGTAGGACAGGGTGTGGTCGATGAAGCCATGCATAGTGCCAGTCTCACTGTACATGTACTGATAAACCAGCCGTGGGATGAAGTCTGATGTGAAGGAGATGACAAAAGCCTGAAAAAAATAACAAGACAAGATAAATAAACTTTTAAATTACTACATCTATTGCCGTTATTCTATTATGTTACATAATTATTTAAATGTAAATACACAAGTAAATAGTTAATCACATTAAGAATTACAAGTAGATTAAATTTACATTCTGTATTGGCAGGTCTGAATCTTGTTTGAGTTCTGTTTATTTCAAAGCCAAACAATGACAAATATTTCATAGAAATTAAATTTGCTTTCTGCAGTTCAAGACTGCATGCACACCAATAACAGATCAATCAAATATCATAAAATCATATAAAATATCTGCTTCTACGAACAAAAACAAACAAATTTAGAATGCCTCCACTTCTTTCAATGAGCTACAAGCAAAACAATAACTATCAAAAGGGATAGGGAAAGCAAGCAGACGCCTTGCTTTGAGTTTGCATCTATGCTAATCAGCAAGTTCCAACCACAGCTGGACCCAATGAAAGGATTCATTGCTTATCTTCCCACAAGCAGGCCAGCTACACTGTTCACTCTGGCCTGAGGTCCAGCCTGCTTATTTTTCTCATACTTCACAAATCACATTTCTATTAAATTATATTAAAGTAACCTTGCCAGGCATTTGCGAATGAACTTGGGGCATGAAAATGAGGCACAAAGGCTGTCCTTTCTTAAAATCCTCAAAACAAATGTACCTATTATTGGACGTTATTAGCGATCATATCAAATGATCTCATGAGACATGCGTGAAAGTTAAGTATAACAGTTAAACACAGTGGAAAAATAAAGTCAGTACTTTGAAATCATATTCTTTCCCACTTTGGGCAACCTGCTTTAGAGAGCACACTTCAAAGCATTCCATCATATGTTTGCCTTTGAGATCTCTGGCCCATATTAAGTAGAGTGGCTGTAATCCAGGGCTTATCTGACATTTGATGCAAAATAATCCTCACTACAGGCCCACAGCCTATCATGGGGAGGCACAATACTCTTCCCCAGAATGGAATGACAGAAGGGGAAACTCTTCTACCTTTCAATTCATCGCTTCAATTCAAAGGGTTGTGACAAACAATAGAACACGAGAGTGAGTGTATTATTGATAACTGTGATTCGGTCATAGGCTTGAGCTGAAGGTGAGTAGATAATCATTTGCAGTGTTACTTGCAATAACACACAACCTCGAGTGTTCTATTGTTTTTATACAACAGTCCTGCAAAACACAGAAAAAAGTGAAATAAAAAAGCCTCAAACGTATAAAATGTGCTTTAATATTGGCACATTCACCAATTCACCTTTTGCGCAATATGAGGTTCAGCTCAGCTTTTTCAAATTAATGTCATTTTGTTTCATTTCACAGCCTATTTTTTGCTAAACTGTATTCTGTTAGTTTCTGTTTAATTCTAGTCTGTTTAGTTGCTCCGCCGTCACAGCTTGTTTGGATTTTAAAATGTAGTTGTGTTGTACTCTCTTTCTGTTTTTGCATATGCTAAAGTAATGAGAGTTCTTGCTTAGCAACTGGTGCTCAGTGGAATAATACAGTTAAAGTGGAAAAATAACAGAACATTATAAAGGTTTCTCAACAAATCAGACTGCACTGTCGGAAAAAACTGTTTCGTAATTTGTAGCAATTCTTCCCACAGCTTACGTACTGTTTCATTTAAAGTCATAAAAAGCGCAAAGAACATACAGCCTAAGGTATCGAACTGACACTTACGTTGATGATTACTGAAAACTTGCCCAAGCCGCTAAGGATGTTGTACCAGATTCCTGAAAGAGAAAAATGAACACGGAAGTCAAATTCCAAAAGCAGTTCGTCTTCCACAAAACTGCTTGCATGCTGCTAAATAGACAGGATACATTCACATTACAGTGTTAAGTGGCGCACATTTTTGCCTAAATATAACACAGATCTGAGTTTTTTAGAGCTGAATACATACTTAAAACTTCCATATGTAGTCCTAGATTAGATATTAGATAAGCCTAAATATCTGATACATGGCCATGTGATTACACTATGCTTACAATGTGAACGCAGCCACACTGTCTATCTGTTCTTTAGATCATTTACAGCATGTATAAATGAAACCCAGTACCGATATCTTTCGCTCTCACTGCATCTGGCCGGCGTAGTTCAGTGACAAACTTCTTAGCATCCAGTCGGATCTCGATGACGTTGTTCAAGAGAGCGAAGAGTGGAGCCAGAGGGAAGGAGGCCACGAAAAGGGAGACGAAGCCAAACTGGATGACTGTGGGCGTGGAGAAGAAGAAAGAAACACACAAACAAACAGACGGAAGAGATAAAGGGCCTTGAGCTCACTTTCATCATGCTTGTGTCTGTTCAATCTGCAAACGTTCAGTACCATGCCGAAGAGCAATAAACACGGGCTGCGCTGCAAGCTTTTGCACTGCACTACGGCACAGTGTTTATAAAAACCTGAACTGATTAAAAGAATGAGGGCCTCAGACACCAGACTCATTTTACACTATCATCTGTGTTGTATATTACTGAGGTGCTGATTTTCTTTACATCGGCCTAAGCATTTTCACGTTCTTTGGAGAGTAATTTTAGGTACTCAGTGACGTTACTGGAAAATGCTGGGCACTGGCAGCAATGTCATGATAAAATATATATATCATGATACAAGTGTCACGATATGATGACACAGAACAGCAGGCCTGTAGTTAAATAGGGTCACAATCAGGTGTCTTTGTAATTTGCAAATCTGTGGGATGATGTATGGAAATGCAAATCCTAAAAAAGGGTCCCCAAACATTAGTCTGGATAAGATGCTCTGGCATATAAAGCAGCATTGATTTGCGTATCATCTTGAGTTTCACCACGTATTCATGATTACAGATATGGGATTAAACTGATCTTTTAAAACCTCATCATCAACACTAGCTCATGCTTATAATTTCAACAAATCGTAATATGGCCTGATAAATAGTGATGAACCAAAAGTATCTTGCAGTATTATACACAATTTTACATACTGCCTTCATGGGGCATAGAGCTGTTCTAGCTTTTTAGATATAGCTCATGATCAGACATGTGCTCACGTTAGGTAGTGGTTACAGGCAGTAAAAGTGTAGGGTGTGTTAATAAGTAAAAGTCTGGAAAAAAGGGACAGTCAGGGGTGAGTCAGTCAGCAGACTGCTGACAGAGTAGATCTAGCAGTCACAGATGAGTTGTGCTGTTCTCTACTAACCTTCACACGCATTAAAAATGAAGAGAGGAAATGAAAAAGCTTGAGAAGCAAAAACAAGAGAGAAAAGAATTCTGAAAATTGCATAGACAACTTGTCTTGTTCAAGAAGTTAAACTGAAGCATGAACTGACATTTAAACCCTACACTTAAGATTCAAATGTTCTATATTTGTATACTTAACGTCACAAAATGGTCCTTCTCTAAATCATATTGCAATTTAATGTTACTTTTGACATTTTTGGACTATGTAAGTTTATCCAGATCTTTTTCATTTTGATTTATGTACATTTCAGCAAATAGTGTGAAGCTCAAAGTTCAAATGTAGGAATGGGAATATAAAGCAAATTAGATTTCAACTGTCTAAATGCAGAACTGGATTCCAGAGCTGTAGTCAAGACTGTATTCCTTGAGACAAAGACCTGTACATTTTAGAGCCTGGGACTGAAGCAGAGGATTTTATCACGTCATGGTCTTGAGATTTATGAGTGTGGACAAGACCACAGTCTCAACACTCTTGAGAAAAAGGCAAAGTAATAATTCACCAACACTAAAAGTTATAGATGAGTTGATGCTGAGCATTTCTGAAAGAGTCTTAGGACCCTACTTTCAGTGCAATCGAACAGAATAATGTTATGTGTCTACTTGCACTTTTTCTTGCCATGTCAGATCTCTGCTTGCTGCTGGCGGACGTTTCTAAGTTGTTATGGAAATGAAGGAAGCAAATTGAATATATCTAGATCAGTAAACAATCTGTTACAGAGGCTTATAATGAGACTAAAATATAGACTTCTGTTTTTATAATTTTCAAAATGCACCAGACACCCACACAATTAAGGAAGTCAGCTCGTTCAATCTCACTAACTACCTTAGCAAGCCTTTCCAATCAAACTATATAACTGTTGCGCCACTCCACATGATCTGTTGTGCCACTTCACCAATACATTTATAATACAGAAGTGCTGCATAAGTAAATTAAAATATAACATCATTATTTGTTGTGATTGTTATAAAAGTATGCAATTTTTTGATGATTGGTCATATTTGTGTCATCTGAACTTTTTCCAATTTTTTCTCTAAGAAGGCAGTGCTCTTGTGTCATTAAGAGCACATGTAGCTCTTAAAGGGGATGAGAGGAGTTAATCTTATAGGCTGTCACTGCAACACACCTAAGCATGCCTTTTGATAATGCATTCACTCTCTTAACTCAACTTTGCCCTGTTTACATGTTGCTCTGCGCTTGGTTAGAGCCTGTGCTGCCGGTCACAGAAAAAAGCCCTAAAAATATATCAATACTTTACACCTTATTTTGTGGAAATAGAGAAATAGGCTCCTTGGTCCTGTTTTGACAGCACACAGCTAGTACTGTTCTGAGTCCAGGTCTCGACTACAGCTATGTCAGCAACCTACACTTAAATTTTAGAACACCATTTGTACAACAAATGTCTCTCTTTAAAAGCAACTCAAATCTGTGAGAAACCCTATAGCGCTATGAGCCAATGACTCCAGATTAGAGATTCCAAGTAACCAACGATCCTTTGTGAAAAGAAATTACAATCTACAGTCTCTGGCTGGGGTGACGGAACACAAGACTGCTTCTCCGCCAGTCTGACACAGATGGAACATAACCTTTGTGGGAAATGGCATTTCCAGCTTTGACTTGATTGACATTCGCTATTTTCTCTCTGCAGCAAAACAATGGTTTACGCAGATCAGGCCAGAGGGCATGCTTCAAAAACGCCCAAGACTGACGTGCTATACTCTTACCTGTGAGCTGCCTATCTCCATTGAGGTGTAGTTTGAAGAGCAGTTTCTATTTATTAACATGTTCTATGTCCTCTCTCTTTTTCCCTCAAATATTTCATGCGTATTGTTATAGCAAGTAATTAAGTAATCTTTATTTATATAAGGCACACTAATATTGAACGCAAACAGAACCCAGACAGAAAACAAAAAAAACACTAAAGCACATATTAAACATGCTGCATGTAGTTACAAGCCAAAGAATAAAAATAAGGCTTAAGCCGTCTCCTAAAAGTGGCCATTGAATCAGAGAGTCTAATATCAAAGGGAAGACTGTTCCAAAGCTTAAGGGAACAAGCAGGAAATACATAGTCCTCCCATCATTTCAGCTTCATCCTTAGGACAGCCAAAAGCCATTGATGTGAAGACCTGAATAGGGAGCTAACAATTCACAGATATGACTTTGCCTTTGACTAAGGCAGGTAAACAAATCATTTCAATAGTCTAGGCATGATGACACAAAACCATGAATAATACTCTGTTATGAAATGACAAGGCACGTCTCATTTTAGTAGGAATGGGAACCATGGGAACCAATAGGAATTGTGGGCTGATGCTGAGATTCCATATTTATTTTGTACATATCTGCCAATGCTGATATTGATCATTTATAAAATGTGAAAACTGGAACTACATGCATTAGCATTACAGATGAAGTGCATTACAGATGAACACTTAACCCAGCGTCCCTTAATCATTCTGCTCTTCCAGAGTACAACATGAGTCAGCAAATATTAGGGCAAAACAATATGATAATATTTATGGTTATTGTGATAAATTACATCACAATATGCTTTTGTGAGCATAAAAAATTATGACAGTATTTTTTTAATGTGTTATTGCTTTGTTGGTTTTAACTTATCAGATGTTAAAAATACTGTTAAATTGTGAAAACAATATTTGCAATATTAAACTTTTGCCATATCACCCAACTCTTTCAAATATTGGTTTGAAAAATCTAAACTTCTGTCTGAGCAATATTTTAAGGCAAATATCTGCTGATACCAGCTTGATGCGGTTTAAGAACACATCATGAATCTGACATAGACTTTTTCTTAGGTCCTTTTTCAAGAACACATTTAAGAACACACTTAAAAAGAAATTGGTGAATGAGGCCCATTGGGTTTTACAGATAGACATAGATGAGTATTATGTGCATAAAAATGAAAAGAAATGATACATTTAAATAACACAGTGCCAAGAATGGATCTTTGGGGCACCCTACAGGTAAGATGGTAGTAGAGGATATCTTACTACCAAAAGAGATCAAGTAATAACAGAATAGAAACCTCCTCAGAGCATGCGTCATAATGTCCCTGAAGACTCTCAAAAGAGCAGTCTCAGTGCTAAGATACTTTTCAAAAATGTCCTTTGCCTCTAATGTATGCAAAAGTTGATTTGAGACCACTTTCTCGAAAATCTTTGACATAAACAGCAATACTGAGATCTAAAAGGTTTCTTATGAACAGAATCCTAGTGAAAAAGTCAATATTATAGCACCCCCAAGCTCACAAACGCTGCAGAATCTAAAACTCACCTGCCCCATTTCCTCCATGGACCAATGAGTACCTATCCCAGTAAACTTTTAGACTTCAAACATATATAGATGTATCTATTAGTTTAAACAACCCTGGTCAAATTTCATATTTTGTTTTTCTAACCGTAAATAAGTTAACACATGCTCTACAGAAAACTTAAATATTTTCTGCACATTTTAATGCACAGTTTATATTTATTTGCTTAGTTGAACATACTGGAAAAATACCCATAAAATATAAAATGTGCTGTAACTTTTGCACAGGCCACAGCTTATGTTTTTACGTCTTGAGATGTTTTTAATTGTCTGGGACTTATCTTGGACTGGTTTTAGACTTATCTTGGTAGTATTTGTACTCAGTCTTGTCTTGGTCTTGGCCTCAGCCATTTGTCATCAGCCACAGCCATCAGTCTTGCCAATTTATTTCTGGTTTTGACTGATTCCAGCTACCTTTTAAAAAAGATACTTTCTTTCTTTTTTGCACATAGCAGCTCAGGAGTTAAACTGGACCAATCCTCCTCATATTGTTCCACTGAGTTTCACAAACAAGTAAGTATTGCTTGGTTCATTTCTGCTATTTTGTAACTTAACTTGGTAAACAGACTTGCATAAATTTTGTTATAACTCCACAAATAGCCTTGATTATTTGTTGTTATTTATCCTGTTAAATCTGAAGTCATTTTAAACATTCTGTTGCACTGAACACAATGACTCTACAGACCCAAGGCTCAACTGTAAACTGGCAAGCTTGGAGTCATGAATGTTTTCACCCCAGTTTTGCCCTCATTCAATCTCAAAGTGGACGGTCACTCACTCATCTCCATGTATTCAGGTGTAAGGCCATCAAAGGGCTCTAGGTTGTAATCTAGGTGCCACTGGCGCAGAGCTCGGCCCGTCTGCTCCTCACGCTCCTCTGGGGCCATTTTCTTCTCCTTCAGAGAGCGGAAGAGCTTCTTTAGCTTCCTGAAGGGAGGGCAGGATGGTGGACAGAGAAGACAGGGCACAAGAACAAAAAGTTTCACATCAATCAATAATATATGAAACTGGTATTTCAGCAAATTAAGGACACATTTCACACAGTGATATGCTCTCTAAGTTTATTTAATGCCATTTGTGGCTGGATCATCTGCAGTGTTAGTGCCTTATTAAAATACAATTAAAAATAAAGAGTTAATATAAAATCAATTTTGTAGTAATATAAAATCAATTTTGTAGTAGATACACACAGAAAATTATTTTAATATTATTCTAGCCATCTACAATCTAATAGGTTACAAATAATTTGTAGGAAACCATATACTAGTTTATGTAACCATGCTATGCGGATTTGATTGCATTCAGCCACAAGAGCATTAGTAAGGTTAGGGACTGACGTTGAATGATTAGCTCTGTATCACAAACGCCACTCCAACTCATCATTCGTCAGTGCTCCATTACCCCAGAAAAGGAAACTCCATTACTCCACAGCCCAGCACTGGGCATGGTGAACTAAGGCTCATGTGTGGCCACTCTTACTGGTAATGCTTTTCTAAGGAGTTGTGAGTGCTCAGCTGAATGCTTATGTCAGAGCGAGTGTACATTAAAGTGGCTGAATTCACTTATTAGAGGGAGCATCTGGATACTGGATATAACATATTAGAGTAAACCCACACTACACTAAATACACAGATGTACAGATCACATGCCATCTAAAGAAAAGACTGGAGAGGCCAAACTGCACTCTTTAGAAACCTCACAACTGTACATGTCTAATACTGTTTACATTTAAGTTTTACTAGTTCCTTCCTTTCTTTGCTCAAAAGAGCTGTCAAACACTCAGGCACGCAAGGCATGCATGCTAACTGCAGCCAGGCGTACACTAAAAAGACAGACACAGCATATGAGAACAAATTGACCTTTAATTGCTCTTGCCCCATCTGTGTGCGTCCACTTTATCTATGAGAGACACCAGAAACCCGACAGCGGGTGTCATGTCTGCTCCTCTCCTCAGCCCTATCCATCACTCTGGCCCCTGAAGCTCAGTGGTCATTAAAGCACAAGCAGGAGGAAAAGCAGGTGTCAATAGCAACTAAAACGCTACTGATACACAACAAGTGGGGAGTCAAAGAGCAGGCAGCAGTACAGCTGCTCACTGTTCAAAACAATCTCAAATGTGGTATTGGTCATAAGTGAGGATACAGTTACTCATGAGGCATTTCCTTCCTTAATATCTTAAGAATAACAGTGAAGACATCAAAACTATGAAATAACACATATGGAAAGTATTATACAAATCAAAACCACAGCACTGTGCAAAAGTGACTGTGCAGAGACCATCCTTCAATTTCAAATGTCAAAACAGCCATTTAAGTATGTTATTCATTTTTCAGCATCAGGAAAAAAAGCAGAAAAACATTTAAAAGAAAATTACACATATGTCTCAACAACTAATACAATTTCTTTTTTTCCAGTATTTAGTGTGTCCACTCTTTGCCTTAGTTACAGCTGCTATTCTCTTCATGTGACTTTATGTCCACACTTTCAAAGTTCAGGCTTGAACAATAAGGCTGAGGTCTGGACTTTGGGGTGGGGGGTCTGAGAACACCAGCAGCCTCTTTGTTTGATTTGCAGTTCGCAGATTTTCTTCTTTTTTGTCTATTACTTTTTCTCAGTAACAGATTCTCGACAGCTACAAATCCTTTCAGACTCATAGGCCCAATCCCATTACTTATTTTTACCTCTACCCCTTGTTTTTGAGTGTCACCTTGCCCCTCGGAACTGAGTTACAAGTGAGTGAAATTTTCCCCTATGAAACGGGAGAACCCTCAAATAAAAAAGAACATTACTTCATGAACAGGCCACTAGAGGTGCTCTGTAGGCAACAGCAGAGGAGCAGTGAAGTTCAGCAACCTCGCTGCTGGGCTTCAGTTAAATTTAGGGCATCATATGCTTTCAAAAAGGGGAATGCAACAATTATTTATCACCTTATCACCTCTAACTCTTCAGTGAGAAGCTGAAGTCATCCATTCGCCAGCTTCTTGTTTGAATTTTCAGTTTCACCTTAAATGGAGCTGCATTTCTGATGCCTGAGGTGGTTTATTCCATTTAAGGAAGAATGGGAAATTTAGCTAGATAGCTACTGAGACAGCAGCGTACTATTAGCGATTTCTTTACGCTTATTATTTAGAAAAGGACCATAATACATTGAAACGACATTAAACTAAGGTAATGTAATGGTTATCGTATTTTTAACAGAGAAAATTCTCACATTTGTGGGTTTCTTAAGTCTTTTGGCTGCCATCTTGCTGTTTTTTCTTTTTTCTCCTCCGTTTGGAGTGAGTCTCTGAAAAACCTCCGTTTGGAAGGCTGTGTAGCCCTAACACTTCTATCTCAAAATAAATGGCGACACCCTACCCCTACATGTAAACGTGCAAAATAGAGGGGTAAGGGTTAAGTGGTAGGGGCAAGGGGTGAAATGGGATTGGGCCATGGTGTTTTGTTGTTATCTCACAGTGGGAGTATCGACAGAAACACCTGTGGAGTTTTTCGGATCTGAAGCACGTGTGGAGCTTGATTTTCTCCTCTCTCCCAAAGATGAAAGCTTTAAGTGTTGTTTATCAGATGGTCAAAGTTTTGGTGGTCTATCAGGACTTGCACAGTGGTTAGGATTCGAATTTTCTCTGTATGTTTTATCTATGTATTTATTTTTTGAACTCCAGTTTTAATTACAGAAACTCCCGTGTTTTTCATTTATTTTCCTTTGACATTCCTGGTCCTTATGTATGTGGATTATCTTATATTTAATCTCCTCAGTAATACACACACACACACACATTTTCTAAACCACTTATCCTTCTGGGTTGCAGGGGGGGAGGGCTGCCAGAGCCTATCCCAGCTGTCAGTGGGCGAAGGGCTCCTCAGTAATGTCTCACAAAAAATGAATAACTTGTATTTAATGGATATTTTGACTGGAAATGAAAATAAATAAGGGGTGGTCTCTGACTCTACACAGTACTGTATATTGTACTTTAGATTCTCCTTTTCCCATGATGCAGCTTTACAAACTCTTGGCATTCTCTCCAGCAGCTTCATGAGGAGCCATCTGGAAAAAAAGCCACCTGCTTTTCCAACAGCACTGAAAGCTGCTGAAAATTGTTCTTTTTAGAAATGAATTCATACATAGGACTCAATGCCACTATGTATTATTGTCTCAGAAACAATTTTTTAAAGCATGAGACTTAAAATCAAAATGCCTTTAAGGTCATGAAAAGCATTCAATGAGGTGGTACTATATATTAAACCAAAGGCAACTTCCAGCTAACAGAGAGACATTCTCTTTGGTTTGTGCCGCTCCAAAGTAAACAAACATTCGTCCTAATGGCTGAAAGCTTCTGCATGTTCTGCCAAGCTGCTCAAAGACAAGGTTGTAGCTCTACTTTCACTCATAAATAACTGTTACTGTTGTAAAGTTAAACAGCCTGAAAAAACGGGAACAATTCAGCCCAATAACATTCCGAAGCGAAGTCTTTAATCTCAGCAATCTCTGCCCTGTTTGTTTTACTTAAAAAAAATTGGCCTTTAAGTTTTCTCATAGGTATTAAGAGTATACATTTTTTCAGATATAGTTTTTTTTTCCTTATTTCCTTATTTTTCAAAAATACTTGCCCACACTAAAATATTAGCATACACTTAATCACAGAATGGTTAATATTTTTAAGACATCCTTTGTGACTTCTAGACTTACAATGAAAATAACTATTATGATTAAAATTTTCTGGAGGCATATGTTACAGAACTTTCTCATAAATTAATACTATTATTGTTTTGTTTTAGCTTTCTAACACAACAGATTTCCTCCCTTATGATGAACATTTCCAGATGCCACAAACCAAGGTGACCAGCAGTGGAAGAGAATGACCAATAGACCATGTATTAATGAAAGTCTTCTTTCAAGATGTAATTACCTCAACCACAGATTTTGTGAAGCAGGGACAAAAGATAGCACTGGCATTCGTATGTAAATATCACATACTAGCTGATCGTAAATTATTACTTAATTAAGTGCATTTGGAAAACACATCTGAAGCTCTCTACTTCTTATGAGAAAACTTCCACTGTATTTTTTAAAACAAAAACAGATCAAGATCATCCAATTGCAAACCATGTTCCAAGAACCTTGAGGACCTTAGCTCTGTCTGTGACCAGAAAGCCCACCCTAATGCTTGGGAAGTCATTATGAAGAGAGAATGAGGGACAGAGAAAGGGAGAGCAAGGAAAGAGTTCACATGGTGCTAGCTGCCTCTGAGGGCCAAATATAGAGAATGAAATGGACCATGTGGTCCATATCTCTGCCTATTAATGCCTTCAATAAAACCCACTAAATGCAGCTGTTGCATTATTTATACCCCCAAAACATGAGCCTTTTACAAAGCATTACTTTTTAATGCATGCCTTTGTATCATAAATGTCTTCCTCCGCCCATGTTAAAGCTCCCATTTACCAGCTGTTGAGGTGCATTTGAATTTGGGTGAATACGCATGCACGCAGAAACAAACATGTGGTGCTGGCCAGCACTGTGAAAGCACGTTTCTTAAAACTATGGGTCACGACCCAAATTGCTTCACCAAACTGCTTCACCAAATCGCACGTGTCTATGTGCTGGGTCACCACATGATGGGGAATGTGTATCTATACATGTGCCTGAGTGTGATGTGTTGTGGGTTTAAGGCTATTTCTCACTGAGTGATTTTTATAGATGAAAAAACTGAATTTTGAAAACATGTACATGCATTTCAATACTGTCTTTCACTTCATGTGTGAAGCTGATAGACAACACTCATTAAGTCACATACATATACCCCTTTGTTGCCTTAACTGAGTGCTAAGCCAAGGTTCTTGTGTTTGACTGTGTAACTACTTGACTGTTTTTGACCCCTGCCTGTGATGAATATGAGCCTTGGATTGCCCCTAAACCCCCTTCATTA